AGGAAGAGATGTATCGTTCCCCGTCGCCAAGAACTAACTATTCAGAGAGGGATCGTTACAATTAGCCTCCTTATATAGTGTTCTTCCCGTCCATAGTCATGTGATCCAAAGTGGTCACATGTGCGCAACCAAATCATAACAAACTAATCATGTGACCAAAGTGGTCACACACTCAAAACTCATGACCTCATAGCAAGGTCATGTGCAAAAACTCATAAACCAATCTTAACGCAATAAACAAGTCATATGACTTGAATGAGTTATATGCACAAAACCCATGACCTCATAACGAGGTCATGTGCAAAACATAAATCATATGTGCCAGGCATACCCGCAAGGCATACTCACGAGGCATACTTGCTAGACACATGTCCCATGACTCATAATCAAGTCATGTGTGAAACATAACATAATAAATCATATGCGTGAAACAATAACATACCTATGACTCATAATCATGAGTCATGTGAAAACCATTTTCCATGCCAAGTCACGTTTGTGATACAGAGTTAGACCTGGTGAAGAGCTGGAAGAAAAAAACTTAAAGCTTAGCTATAAGTCTGGAAGGACTAGCATTGGAGTATATGCTGCAATGATGAAGGAAAGAAAGACTGAGTTAATTCTTGTGAGAAAGAGAAGGGAGGAGGAAAGAACTAGTAAAAGAGACAGACTTGGCCTAAACTCTCACCAATATGCAACTGAGATCCACCAGCCTTACCTTATCCCTTTTATAGAGGGTCTGGATAGACCTTCTGACAATATCTACCTTGCTGCAGACAATGCTTCCTAGCATGGTGGTGAGGAAAATCGAAAATTGGAAGCAGACTGTGGTTACAAAAAACTCCCTTGACCACCCAACTCACCAGATCTCAATCCTATTGAGAGCACATGGGCACTACTCAAAAGAGCCCTTACCAAGCGATTCTCCAGACTGGAAAGAAGGCCTCATAGTGCAGCTGAATTGTTTGAGGCAGCAAAGGAAGAGTGTGATTTAATTCCCCAAGAGAAGTTGGATGGATGGATAGATAGGATGCCTGAGAGAATGCAAGCTGTATTGGATGCAAATGGAGGCCATACAAAATGGTAATAATGTTTTTTTATTGTCTACTAGCAATACTATCATGAAATTTTTATGGTTGGGGGTTGTGGTTGTGCGGTTGCCATGCGAGGGTACGAAAACTTTCCGAACACGACTGTACAGTACCTGTCTGTTTGGGCGAATGAAAAAGTGGGAGAAAGGTGCGCGCTATTGGCAAGGACCCTGATGCAATTCTGAGGAACCACTACCGTATTCGTACAGCACCGTACAGTACTCGTACTTGTTGCGCTCATGCAGGGGAGTGCTGAGTAAATCACGTGATACTATTTTCCGATTGGCCAACAATGTCTTGGATAAACGGAACAATTTTGATGGGTAATTTACCGTTTCTCTGCCTTTGGCTTAGGAGGGTAAAGGCTTTTTCCTTTTAGCATTCTACGGTACTCGTCTTCCAGTGTCAGGGAGTCTTGTGTGATTGAAACAATGTCTTTCCTACTTTATCGTAGACATCTAAATTTAACTCGAGACATTGTGGACCAATCGGAATTACTGTAGGATATCACGTGATTCACTTGGCACTCGGGTGCATGGCATAACGAAAGGAGAAGAAGAAAGAAAGAAAAAAAAAACTCCGCTCAACGACTTTTGGTCATCGAGAGATCGAGGATGTAATACTTGTAGATGCGGTATGCAGCAAGCATTTGGCTCTATGCCGGCATGATACGGATAAGAATTTTTTTAATTCTCCTTTTGTCTCAAAATCGTGATAAAAACGCCATATCCTAACCCCCCCGCAGCCGGGACTAAACCCTTCAGGGTTCTCTCTTTCTCTCTCTCTCTCTCTCTGGCGTAATTGTATAGGTTTCACTTCAGCCGCCCCTTATTTCGACGTGAAGAAAAAGTGCCCTTGCCGGTTCTCGCCGGATATTGCGGTGGGCGGGAGAAGCTCGCGGGATCATAACCTTGTGGCAATTGTGCTTTTCTGGGGATATATGTACTCGTACTTGAGTGAGTGAGTGGCATGGAGTATCACATCGTACAGAGAGTGGTGGTGGGGTCTGGATTATGATATGTATGATACCTAGAATTTACGACCACCCGGGGGCTCCACCCCCTCACGTTGAACCCCCACACCTCCATCCATCTATCCAGAAACCCAGATACCACACCCCACTGTAAGCTCTAAACTAATCGTAACCTGCCTATCATATCCCGACCTCGAAAGCGGGGACCAAATTGCCCTCGGCAACCTGCGCCCGAGGGGGGGTTTTTTTTTTTTTTTCACACCTTGCGTTTTTACATCTCGAGTGCTCTATGGGTGTTATTTTTTACCTGGGAAGAATGAGCGTGGGTACCGTTCTGAGTGCTATGTCGGCGCAGTGTGTGGTACCAGTGGGGTAAAGCCTTGTGCAATTGGACTTTGAAGTGCTGGGCTTAGGGTCGGGTGGCGTCTGGCCTTCTACTCAGATAATACTTTACTCGAGTATTTACTTGGGCGTTGGGAGCTCAATTTCGCTCTAAAGGCTCCCGCTCTCAGTGCCGGTACTACGGTTGTGGGCGGTAGGGGAGGAGGGCGGTATCTGGAGGCTTGGAGATACAAGTACAAGTAGGGGGAGGGGGGAAGATGGGCGCTGTGTTGTGGCGTGGGTTGCAGGTCGCGACTTTTAGTATTAGAAGATAATATCGATGGCAGGGCTGTGGCGTGGGAGGATGCGATCCCGGTTCCCCGTGGGTTGTCGTGCTGAACTTTATCTCGGCGCCAGCTGTGTGATCCCCACTTCGCTTTTAAACTTTAACCCCCGATACTCGAGTGCTGGTAAGTTACTTGTACTGTACATACTTGTTTGCAACTTTAAAAGCTCTGTCTGTGACAATCTGAGCAAAGTTGAAAAAAAAAAAAAAACCAAGGCTCCCTCCTGTCTGGACACGCATCGGGCCATGTTTTGAGACTGGACTGGCGAAGATCTTTGGATCTTTTTGTTGGTTTTCTTGGTGGGCCGTTGGTTTTTGGGGTCTAGAATCGTCTTTTAGACCTAGCTTTACCCTATGGTGATGTTTCTTCTTCCTTTCTATGATAATATTATTTGGTCGGTCGGTCAATGGCTGCGTTTGCCTAAGGCACAATGGGTGTAATCCTTTTTCTTATTCAACTTTGTTCGGATCGTCAAGAAATTTTTTTTTAAAGTTGCGATGAGAAGGTGGCAAGCGCCATCACAAAAAGAGCACTTGAGACTCTTTAGCTCTAAGCCCTCATTCAACCCTTTCGTTTTCTTGAAAATCGCCCGCAAATTCTGGTGGGGGTTTGTGATATCGTACTTTAATCTCTTTAGGGGAATAGGAGAGCGAGAGATGGTGGAAGCTCCAACACATCCCCCCCCGTCTATTTCGCTAATTTTCTTGATCTCCTGACCTTGCTAAGCCCAATGGGGTGGTGCCGGTGAGTTCGCATCTTGTGGTTTCTTGCTGGCATCCCCACCCTTCCCCACCTCTCTCTTTCGAGCAATCGGGGGCGCACGATTGGATTCGCGCTTGCTGTGGCGTTTACTGTACGAGTACCGTACTCGAGTAGACCTTCTTGGAAAGTGGTGGGAAGATGTTTGTCACATTCTTGCCGGTAGAGCGGCGGGGTTAGCGGGGGTGTGATAGGAATGCGGTGTTGTATGATAGAGGTAATTCCGGCATTGGAGATGGGAGGGGATCTGGGTGTTGGTTTTCGAGGGTTTGGAGGTTTCATTGGATTTGAAGTGTATAGCACTAGTATAGTAGATTCCGTGTGTACCGGTATGATACCGGTACATACTGTCCTAAGCTCGAGCTTCGAACACGGTGGGAGATGGGTATATCACTGTTATACTCGAGTATGGGTCGGACGAAAAGGGTTGTCGTTGCGTTACCGCATTACATAATTCGCAAGCCAATAGTCACACACGCACACACACACATTTACACGCACGAGGAATGGCATGCTTTGCTTGCAGGCGATTCCTAGATTCTCGCTTGCTCAATCGGGAGCCATGAAATGCGATGGGCTTGCTGTTGTGCGGCCCCGGAGCAAAAGAGACGGCGCCGGATGTGGCCAGTTAGGCGAGTTTTAGCTTGAGGGGGCCGTAGCCCAAGGAAGAAAAAGAAAGTAGAGAGTGGGCCGTGATCGAGGCCAACGACTACTGTACGGTACTCGAGTACCGGTGCTCGAGTAGGAGGGGTTCAACGAATACGGTAACCCATCAAGTTACCGGTATGAAATACTTGTACTGTACAGTACGATACGTACCGTATACCGCACAAGTTAGCATCTGCCAAGACATTTAAATGGCTTGTCCGTTGAATTCTCCTACTATCATAGTACTCGTACTCTACTGCACAATGTTTCCCTATATGGCGGGCTCCCGGCATGACGAGCACCGGCTTACAAAATGCTTTGGACTACGGTCTAACATTCGCACAACTCATAGGAGCATTGTACCGGTACCGCTAACAATTGAACCTGGTCGAAATAATCTGCTCGAGTAATCGCCGAGGATGGGTAAGTGTTTATAAGTTTATGGTGAGACTTGGTGTGATACTATGCATTCTGGCCAATGGTGCGCGGTGGATCCGCACGGCGGGCGACCCTTGGGAGGGACAAGTAGGAAAGGTGGGGGGGGGGGTGGTGCAGGATTTTTCTTATTCCACCCAGGGATTGGAGAGGTATTATATGCTGAGGAAATATGTGCCTATCTGAGCGTCAATACATAGTAGACCTTCCCTATTTTCCGGTACTTCTTGCCTGGGACGAGTGCTTCCATTGATGGGCCATGCTGGGGGTCCCAAGAGATCGCCATGCTTTTATGGTTGGCTTGAGAAATTGTCACTTCTCCACATTTTGGTGTCTCGCAGATTTTTTTTTTCTTTTTCCTTTTCCCCTTGCCCCTCCCCTCCTTTTCTACCTTTTCGTTTAAAACAGTTGCAGCACCAAGAGACACCCGCCCGGAGGTCTCCCGGGGCCTGGAAATTGAAATCCTCTTGCCCACTAGCCGGGAGCTGAGTTGTTTGAGTAGTACTGATTAAGAAGGAAGGGTCGATTTGGACACATAGCACCTCAACCGCTTTTTTCCCTTACCGTGCTCGAGTATATAACAACTCGAGTCGGGCACCGCCGGCTGGCCTCAGAGAAAAACTGTTATCGATTAACCAACCTGTGATAAGCATATGAGATCCAACATGGAGGAGACACGCAAAGGCCATCCGGAACCCACCGTCTGTCAACAAGCCGAAGATCCATACGCTCACCGGGGGACCGTACCAGCGAACACCGATGATACTGCCGAACAGGCCTTTGTTCCACCAGTTAAGGAGGGAAGGTTTGCATTCTTGAAGACTCGCCGGTTTTACGAGGTGCTCGTGATTGGGTAACTACTCATTGTTTTACACCCCCTCCCCAGTAAAAGCTTTTCTGTGTTTGTCATGACAACTGACTTGTTGTCTTCTTACAGCCAAATTCTCTCGTTGTGTCTTGTGTCCACGGGCACGCTCTCGCTCCTGTTGGTCGGCCAGGGTACCTCGATCCCAGCTTTCCAATCATTCTTTTCCTATGTGCTTCTAAACTTGGTTTACACGAGCTATACCCTGCACCAATATGGGTTCAAGAAGTGGGCTCAGGTGGTCCTGAAGGATGGCTGGAAATGTACACACCAAACCCTCTCCAACACAATCTCCAAAGATGGTATAATTGACTGGTAATCAGATTTCATCCTCAGCTTCCTGGACGTCGAAGGAAACTACTTTGTGGTGCTCGCATACCGCTATACAACGATACTCTCCGCCCAACTGATCAACTTCTGGGCAATAGTAGTAGTAGTAATACTATCATTCATCTTCCTGCATGTTCGTTATAGAATACCGCAGATTCTTGGTATCCTTATCTGTTGTGGGGGTATGGGTGTCCTGTTGGCCAGCGACGCAATGGGCGGTGTTGCAATCACAGGAATGCCAACAGAGCTGAAGGGTGACCTGTTCATGCTTCTGGGGGCGACTATGTACGGGATTTCCAACGTGCTGGAGGAGTTCTTTGTGTCGAAAAAGCCAATTTTTGAAGTTATTGGGCAACTGGCGTTCTGGGGCATGCTGATCAACGGTACACAAGCTGGAATCTTCGACAGAGCCAGCTTCCGGTCTGCTACTTGGAACGGTAAGGTTGCGGGATATATGGTTGGATACACTCTAAGTTTATTTATTTTCTGTAAGCATGCAAGCCGACCAACAAGCCCTAACTGCAACACTAACAAATGAACAACAGACAGCATTGTGCCAATCCTTCTACGCATGGCTTCGGCGGCATTCTTTAATATTTCCATCCTAACAACTAGCTTCTGGAGTGTCCTGATCGGGATTCGGGTTTTTGGATATGTTATTCGCAAGCTTTACCCGGCAGCTTTCGTAATGATCATTCTTGGTAGCCCACCTTCTCCCCCCAATTTTGAAATAATGTGGACCTAACGTCCTCAGGGCTGGTCACCTACTTTGCGTTCCAAAATTCACTCGGCGAGTCACATAAGCCCTGGCTGGGACTCAATCAAGAGAAGGGTATTGTTGGTATTGGCACCGCAAAGAGGAAGATTAAGGTGGACATCGAGGCTGTCTCTGGGGCCAGTGCTGCCGCGGAAGGAGTGGCCAGTACAGGAAACGGAAAGGACCATACTGGGGAATAGCGGGGGGGTTGGGGTTTCTGGTTTTGGAGAGGCTGCGATTTTTGTATGACGTACAAGGACATGCTACGGCGTGGTGTTATCGCTCGTGTGAGGGTATATGTTGTCGGTATAAGTTTGGACCTAATGGACGAAATAAATATTTAAGGTATTCCTAGTGCCTTGGGCAAATATCTTTGCGCATGGGCGGTGGGAGAGAATTGAGCGTCTAACCAAGAAGGAAAAATGGCAGAGAAATCATCAGCCCCTGAGAGAATATGCATCGATCGCAGAAACTATCATTTACCGCGACTCCGATGATAGAGGGCCGAGTGACCACTTATGACCACAGACCTTCTTGCACCATAAACAAGTTCCGTGAGAAGGAAGCCAAAAAAAATAAAAAAAAATAAAAATAGAATCAGGACCGACCCAGGAATTTTCTCAAAAACAAGGAGTAAAAAAAGTGAGGAGTACATCATACAGATCTCTGGGTTCTCCCCCCGCGTCCGCCGCACTGGTCCCCCATGATACAGTGTGATACTTTACAATATCTATCATACTTAGATACTTATCCTATACACTCTGGTTAAAAATATATACATATATATAAAAGGGAACCTCCCCAACCCTCCTCCTAGCAGGTCATAGAAACTATGATATGAAACCCGGCACGCTCGACGAGACCGGACCCTCAACGTCATCCCCCCCCCTTTTCTTCTCCAAATTCATCGGAGCGGGGAGGGGGGAAGTAAAGATGAAAAAACCCCCTCATTCGCTCTTCAAGTCCGGGCGCATTCCGGGCATTCCGTATATCTCCCTTCACGGCCCCCGGGGTTGTATTCCGTACGCTTCGATGCCCGTCTCTGATCGCACTTGTTAGCAGTTGTTGTTGTCGTTGTGGGAAGTGTGCCGGTAGGGCGCCCACAGCGGCGGCGGCAGCGGCAGCGGCGGGGGGGGGGGATTTTCCGGGATGCCGGGTGTGCTACGTTCGCTGCTTTCACCGGTTACGGTTGTTGCCCGATCGCGCTGAGGGGGGGGTGTAGGTTTGTTCCGACATTATATTATTAGCACACCAACTCGTGTTTTGTTGTGAGGGTGGGTAAGGTAAGGTTTTGATGGATAGATGGCGGGGAATTTCAGGATCGAGTGATGTGCTGTGGATATTTGATTGATTGATTTTTTTTTTTTTTTTTTTGGAAATGGTGCCGGATTGGGGGGGGGGTGTTTACCGGTGGTTTGAAGCGGGGTGGAGAAGGGAAACATGTCCCTGTGCGGGGCATAATCACCAGCTAGAAGACTTGAATAAATATTGGGTCCCGGAGGTTAGCGCGATGGGGGTTTCCGGTTTTTTTTTCTCTTTTTTTTCTCTTTTTTTCTTTTTTTCTTTTCGTGGTCGTGGTCGTGGTCGTGTTTGTTGTTGAGTACTGTATTGCACTGCGCAGTACTGTACCCACCCGTCCATGGCGACTACTTTTGACAAAAAGAAAAGAAAGAAAGAAAAAACGCTTCCGGTGGATTATGATACCATGGGGGTGGGTATCAGGGGGAATGAATAATAATAATAATAATAATAATAATAGTTTATGTGTTAAAAGTAGTTGTATTTTCCGGGAGTGAATAACATCATGGGATTATACAGTAGACTACAGTGAGTGCATCCACATGTGTGTAGCACCCATACCTCGGACCAGGGCACATTTCCGGTATCATCACGGAAACCTTGAAAGTGAAATACAGTACTTGGCCATTTTTTTATCTACTACTACTTATTATTTTTTAGTAAGTTAGCACTTTGCGTAAGAGTGGGTGAGTAGCAAGGAATCAGACAGAACCTTTGCAGAGAGAGAGAGGAAGAGAGAGATATGAGAAGAAGGAGAAGAAGAAGAATCTGCCGGTACAGTACGTTCCTGTTTCACTGTGGTGTGAGCTATAATAATTATAATAACTTGCCTTTCAGGTGTGTGTGTGTATATCTGATTATTTTATTGATCTTTTGTTTGTTGTCGTCGGCTGATTATCTCTTTCTTTCATGAATCATAGTCTATATATGATACAAGAGCAATTTACAGTCTCTCGTGTTTGGAATACATTCTATTCTTTTTTTTTCTTTTTCTTTTTCCCTTTCACTCCTCTCTCTCAATGCCATTTCGTATATGTGATTATCAGATTGATTGGGTTCGTAATTAGGAATAATGACATCTCTGTTATGATACCGTATATAATGTATCATATCATAATAGGAGACAAGTTGGACAAGACTGGACTCTACCAACTAACCGGCGATACTAAACCCCCAGTTGTCGTGATTAGACTAAAATGTCCCCAAATGATCCCTTTCTTCCTTCCATCTTTTCATACATCCGAAAAGGGCATAAAAATAATATCCAGCAAACTCAATTATATCCTCCAACCTCTTTTATAAATCCCGTAACACTTTGGCCTCTCAAGGCATTGCTTTATACATATATAATCAACCTTCTCGCAGACAACACAAATCGCCATTTGACATGGCGCTGCATATAGTCAGGGGGAGGGGGGGGGGGTGTCATAGTACTTATCCAGCCGACACCCCCGCGGGAATACGGTACATTACTGTTTTGTGCCATCCCAGCAAGGGGGGGGAGGGGAAAAAAGGCCCCTCTAACGAGAATTCCACCCAATGATCCTTTTTTCATACTTCCCCCCCCCCTCCTCTTTCAACTACTCGTGTACTCCCGCTACCACTATCGGGGGGGGGGGGGGTAGACTCAACAAGTCAGAGTTGTGCACAAACACGCTTTCCATTTTTCATCTTTTTCATCTTCTTCGAAGTCATCCATGAGTTCGCACAATGAAAAGGAAGAACTAAAAATTTCATCAGGGCCCGCTCACACCTTCTCACTCGCTGTGTGCATTTTTTCCTTTTTTTTTTTCTTTTCCAAGTGGGAAGGGCGGAAAGGGGCCGAGTAAGGCACACCACACACACACACACACACACACACACACACACAGTCTCCTTCTTTTCAACTCTGAGGGTTAGGTGTATCAGTGCGGTGTTCGGGGGGCTCACCCAATCAAACGCCCTTGAAGAGCTTCTCACGATGGCTTCAAGTCTTTAACTTCCCCACCTTCGGAAGGTTCACATTTTTGTGCTCCGTTGGCTCGCTTTCCTTTGTTTGCCTATTGATACGGCACCGAGTGGACCTTGTAGTCCTTATTTTCCCCCACGTTCTTTTGCTCTTGCTTGTCGGTCGGGCGTCCTTGGTTTCCGGCCAGGATACAGTTGGTCGTATAGGGAGGCCGTCCTCCCCCCCTCTTCGGAGTGACCGTTCGGACACTCATGCGTTTACGGTTCCTCCTTGGTCCTCCTTCTCGCCTGCTTGGGCCTTTAGGGCCTTGCGCCCCTCACTGTCTTTTCCCAGCTTCGAGCTGGGCCCCCGCGCGAACCCGGTGTTCCTGAACCCCTATGGGGGGGATGGCTTTGACCCGGAGAAATTGGCCTTCGCCACCCCCTCTTTTGGGGTGTGGCTCGACTGGTGTGGCCCGCCCACCCTTCGGGGCGCGGCCAAATGCTTGGCGGTGACGGCTCGGCAATCTACATTTCCTCATCTGGCCCAGACGAATATGACGACGACTGATCTGTCCCGAACTCCGCTGACCGTTCGGTTTTGTTGTCGACATTGCGGTATAACCCTTGCTGTAATGGCTTGGGGGTACAGTTGCTTAATGGGGAGCTCCCCGGGGAACCGCCTTCGGGTGGCGCCTGCGACTCGGGGCCGTGGACGCTTGGCTAATGTTGCTAGGGGTAGGGTTGGGTGTAGGTGCGGGCGCTGGGCTGTTGTTTCTTTTGTTGCGCGTTGATGTAATGATTGTTTTGTGGCAGGTGGCCCGCGAGGGGGATTTCTTTAAGGGGGGCCTTGGGCTGGGGGCTGTATCTCATGCCGTACTCCGATTACTTTAGTTAGTAGGTGAGATAGTGGAAGAATAAAAGGTTTACACACACACACACGGAGCGAGAAAAATTTCGGAAATTCCGGTACAGTTAGCGGGGCATTCCTGCAACCACACCAAGTTTATTTTTGTTTGTGTACACATCATCTTTTTATCCGGAACAACCAGAATTTTCACTCAAAGAACTACTCCACCCCCTCACTCACGATACTCCTCCCTTAGGTGGTGTGGCCAATCACAGCCCTCCATCCTAAGACTTCATTTCCTTTGAGAGTTTAGGACGCTGGCCATAAGACCATCCTACTCACTCACCATGACCTCCCAACCTTCGTCCCCGGCCCTGCCGCATCTCCCCCACTCTCCTTCTCCCTTGGGGGGACCCAGAAGCCCTACCAAGAGCCCAAGGATCAATTCCCCCAGCCTCCTCCCGCCCGGCTCCCCTCAAGGAGTCTCCCTCAACTCAACCCTCCCCATGTTTGCCACTATTAGGCACCAAAGGGGCTGCCCCAACGCCTTAATCAACGTGGGAAACAGAATCGTGGCCAGGGGAAGTACCTTCCCCGAGGTCAGACAGGAACTAGGATGCACGAATGCATGCTACGTCCTCCTCACGGGAAACACGAAGGCCCGGACCATAGCGGCACCCCAACCGGAGCTCCCAGGGTTCAGGACCACACTCCAGAAAATCTTTGGCAATGAAGCGGTAGATGCAGCCGACACTGACGCCTTAGCTTTCCTGGCAGCAGCAGCCTCCTCCTACCACCCGTCACAAGAAAGCCCTGTACCAGTATCCCAGATACCACAGGTACCCGCCTCCTCCCCACCGTTAGGCGAAACGGACGAACCCATGGACCAGTCTCAAGACATCGGAGTAACTGAAACGCAAGCAACACAAGATGTAGCAATGTCCCTGGGAAACGGGAAAAACATAGACCAGACCGGATTAGGAGACAGCCAACACGCCCACGGACCAAGCGAAGTGCCGGAGAGCTCGGCCCCCCAGAGTGCACCAAGGCAGGTACGATTTTCTTCCCCCTTGACCACGACAAAGGAAATCCCGGGGACCCCAATGGGCAATATGACCAACGACCCGAGCTCCTCACATGCCCAAAACCGCCCCACCATCCCCTCCTCCTCCCTGTATGAATCGACGGAAGTCGAACTCACGCCAGAAGAAAAGGAGGAACTAGGACGCCCCGTCACCGTAGGCATCATGGTGGGCTTCATCCACCAGCTGGAAAAGAAATTCCAGGAGCAGAATTGTGTGTGGGGGCGGCGACGTCATACGTAGTCGAG